GGGTTGCGATCCGTTGCCGGACACGGAAAAAGACAAAAAAAAAAAAAAAAGGATATGATGAATTTTCAGACACACTTATAGGGAAATGAATTTTAAAATATTAAGGTCTTGAACGACTTATATTTATAGAACATGAGCTACATATAACACTATCTCATTTGTGTTCAAAAAATTATTTTAGCTAGTCATTCAAGGGATCTGGTATAACAGACCCCGAAATGTCAGTAGTGAAGGGTCAAGCTTTTTGTTTTTTACGGGTTTTTGAAATACAAGTTTTCAAAAGTACTTTTACTATTAAAACAACTTAACACTTACTAATAATGAACATGAAAAAAATTAAGATAAATAAAATGATTCTTCAAAGCTCACTCAACTTCAGGATCTTTGCTGTCCAATAAGATAGTCTAGTGTGATACCACTAAGCACCTGAAGTGTGACTGCTTCTAATTCAGATATGCTGTAAGTACAAAATACACAACAGGTTTTGTTTTGTTTTTATTTTAATATTTACTTGTACACATTTGTGGGGTACCTTGTGTTGTTTCAATATATGCATATATGGCACAATGATTCACTTAGGGCAGACAGCACAGTTTTGTACCCATTACTCATATTTTGAAAACTTAGTATAAAAAATATAAAATATAGAATTAATACTTTTATATTGATCAAATGTTGAAATGATAACTTTCAGCATATTATATTAAATAAAATATACTGTTAAAATTAATTTTACCTGTTTCTTTTTAGCTTTTTTAATGGGGCTATTAAAATTTTTCAATTGCGTATGTAGCTTGCATATTTCCACTGGACAGTGCAGTTCTGGACAAAGAGAGGAAGGGGGAGCTGATATATTTCCTGGCATTATTTTTTATTTTAATATAGACATTTCTGTTTATAAATGTGTTTTTCTCAGTTACTCAGAATCTTTCTACCAAACATATTAATTCAAAAACAAATTATCACAGTTAAAAAGGAAGAAATTAAAGAGATACTAAGTACAAAAGAGCCAAAATACCTTGTGTTTTATTTGGAAGTCTTATCTCTGCAAAATTGCACAACCTGGGGGAGGATAAAGGACTTCGCTTAGCTTGGAATTTATACAGTTTAGGCTCCGAAATGTCCTAAGATATTATGTAGCTAAGAAGTTTTTTTGTATATTGGTTCTTAAAAACTAGGAATCCTTAAATTAGGGCCTAAGTTTGCTTAAGAGTTTATCTTATTTGGCATAAAGTTTTTTAATTTTTATGTTTCTGGTTATATTTGATCAGGGTTCTATTTAAATAGGCACAAGTTCAAGCAAAGATTCAAAAGTTCAGGCAAAGATTAGATTCTGCCTTTAACAATGTGTACTCAGACAGAAGGCATGAAAGGGTAGACATAAAATCATTTATAAAATTACTCCTTTCATTACATTTGCCCATGCTGAAACACTTCTGCAGCTTATAATTAGGCAAATTACTTTATATTCAATAATGTAATTCAAACTACTATAAGAAAAAATTATTCAGATATTTCTACTCAGAGACAATATACAATAAACTAATATGTAACCATTGCCTCCAATTTGTCAGCGTTACATAAGAAATTGCTTAAATTGTGCAAAAAGTGTTAGTATTCTAATATATCAAACATGAAAGGAAATTCTTAAACACAGCCTTTCTTTGGTATTAGTGTGCAGTAACTTCCATGCATTAGAAGGGGATTCTCTTCAAATTCCCTTCTCTAATAAAAAGAACCTGATATATCAAAAAGGGGTGTGCATCTACTCTATACAAGTTTTACACTTGGGAAACTCCAATACATTATGACTTTGTCATTCTCTGATTCGTTTAATAAACATTTGTTCTTTAAACAATGTGTAAGGCATTGCACTAAAGTGCTGTAAGGAATATAAATTAAAAACAGATACACGTCTTGCCAATAATAGCATATAATGTAATAGGGGAGAGAAGTTGCCCATCTAAATTCTCCCTCAACTAGCAGGTAAATGAAATATCAGGGTCAATAACTAAGCTGATAGCTTAGTTGATAAGAGAAGTTTCGAAATATACCCTACATGACCAATGATCACAATTGTAACTTTTCCCTTTAAAGAAGGAGAAAATTTGACTTTCTTTTCTAGTTTAATACACACTTCGATAATTTCAGAACATGTACCAATGCAAAGGTTAAGAAGAAAATGAGTTAGAAAATTTTTTTGTTTTTCTTTTACATTAGTGGAAATACCTGTGTATTTTTATTTACTTGTGTTCTTTATTTCTGCCACAAAGAAATATTTATATGGTTCTGTATTGGACACTTAAGAAAAAGTATACAGAGACTAATCAGAAGACACAGTTTCTTACCAAGATCCAAGAGACCAAAACTCAGAAAACCTAGATTCTAGCAAAATTTCCCAATTCACATGATCTTAATATGGGATTAGATCATTTTCACCAATAAAATACTATACTATGGATGTAAATGCACTGATTGTTTCTAACTACCAAAAAATAACTCATTATAGTACCCTGTAGTGCTTACTATATACCAGGTAATGTTCTAAGTGCTTTGAAAATATTAACTTTTAATATTTATGCAACCCTTTAACGTAAATATTATATTCACTGGACAAATGAGAAGACAGAGGTAAGAGAAGCTAAGTAATTTGACCAAGGGTTACAGAGCTGAAGCTTAGCAGAGACAGTATTCCAATTCAGGCAGTCTCTTTCCAGAATCATGCTGTTCACTAGTTTGACTTTAGAAGACCACATATATATTAATCCTTCATGAGCACATGGAAAAGAGCTGAAAACATAGAGGTATAGAACATAATGGAGAAAGGGGGTGAAATGTCTTTAATGATACTTATTATGTTTGGGATTTTGTGATAATGTACTAGAATAATTAAGACATATAATGTAAAGCAAAAAGACATACTAGGGGTCTTCAAAAGTTCATGGAAAGATTCTAATTATCTTTTTTTTTTTTTTTTCCCTTTTTGTCTTTTTTTGTCTCCGGCAACGGATCGCAACCCTCAGTGTTGCGCCTGTACCGGACCGGGACCAGCAACAGGATCGCAACCCTCGGTGCTGCGCCCGCACCTCGCTCAGCCAGTGAGCGGGAACCGGTCTGTATGTGGGATCCGAACCCTCGGCGGGAGCACCGCCGCACTCCCAAGCGGCGCACTGTAGCAGTGCACCACCAGGCCGGCCCCTAATTATCTTTTAATTACCTTTTTCCACAAACTTTTTGAAGTATCCTCGTACTAACAAATAATTATAGTGACAAATAATAAGGAACATATAACTGTTAGCTTACGCAGAGTAACATAGGAATACAGCATTGACCATTAACCACGTGAAGGAATAGACAAAGACTTCACAGAGAAGGCATTTTGGGGGATGGGTCACTGTTTCTAAAAGAACTAAAACACAATTTGGGAAATGCATACTTAATTCATTTTTCCTTAACTTTAATAATGAATTTACCCACAAAAGAGTCTGTTTTTGACTTATAAATCTCTTTTAAAGTCATGAAAAATCAAAATGAGATTTTAAAAATAGGTACAGCCCATAACACTGAAAGTGCAGTTTATAATATAGCAAAGTTAAATACAGTAACAATTTCAAATCACCTATTTAGTTGCTCATTTCTTTGAATTTGTTAGCATTGATCTAACTAAATGTAGGAGGTTACATTTGTGCAAGTTAACAGAGATTAATGATTAACTATATTCACCTGCCTTACCAAGTTTATGTGGCAAATAGTAGTATATATAGAGTTAAGAATTCTAGGTCTGTTTGCAGAACAAAAGCAGTTCAAAATCACTTGGAACTGAATAATTAGGATAAAAATGTACACAATTAAGCTCTTTCTTTTTATTGCTCCTCTAGTTATTTCCTCCAGAACTGACCAAAACAATTCATCATTTGATTCTATACCTCCAGAGCCAAAATCAAGATTTGCTATGTTAGATGATGTAAAAATTTTAGCCAATGGTCTCCTTCAGCTGGGACATGGTCTTAAAGACTTTGTCCATAAGACTAAAGGCCAAATTAATGACATATTTCAAAAACTCAGTATATTTGATCAGTCTTTTTATGATCTATCACGGCAAGCCAATGAAATCAAAGAAGAAGAAAAGGAACTGAGAAGAACTACATCCAAACTACAAGTCAAAAATGAAGAGGTGAAGAATATGTCACTTGAACTCAACTCAAAACTTGAAAGTCTCCTAGAAGAAAAAATTCTGCTTCAAGAAAAAGTGAGATATTTGGAGGAGCAATTAACTAATTTAATTCAAAATCAACCTGAAATTCAGCAACACCCAGAAGTAACTTCACTTAAAGTAAGTAGAAACCAGAGGGTTCATGACTATGTTTTCTATGTTGATCTTTAGGGGAAAAAAAAAAAAATTATAAAACGATATTTGAAATACCTTGTTGCATTATTGAAATACTTTATTTTTCTCAAGAAACATAGCCTCCAGAAATTTCCCACTATAATTTCAAATTCGTTTTTGTTTCCCTAACATTATATACAAAAACAACTACACTTTACATTTCATATTAAAATTACAAATCAGCTAAGTAATAAAATTTAAAACACTAAATTTTTACATTATTGCAAATTATTGAAGGTAAGTAAAAAGCTAAAGAAATTTAAATTTAAAACAATTCTCCCATGTTTAAAATGGATAAAGGTAATATAGTAAATGGTAAAGATTTATTACTATTAAAATACTGTGGGATTTTTTTTTCTTTTAATTGAAGTTCAGAAAATAAAATTTTAGGGATGGTACACTTAAAGTAAAAAAGAACAAAAGTATTTGTTATTTAAAGAAGCATACAAGGGAAAATGATTGCCAATATTCATTTTTCTAAATCACTATTAGTTTTAAAAAATTAGAGTCAAAGTGTTATAGGAAATAACAAACTTAACAAAAAAGAAAGATGAAACTTTTAATCAACCTACGATTTATGTCCAGACTTTTGTAGAACAGCAAGATAATAGCATCAAAGACCTTCTACAGACGGTGGAAGAACAATATAAACAATTAAACCAACAGCATAGTCAAATAAAAGAAATCGAAAATCAGGTAAGTCAATACTTTAATGGCTCACAAAGGCACTATTATATGATGATATACATTCTGTCAAAAATAAAATGTATGAAGAAATCAAAACAAGGAATTTCTGGTTTGGAAGAAGCCTTAGATCATCTGATCCAATTCCTCATATTTATTTATTTATTTATTTTGTGGCCGGTAAGGGGATCGTAACCCTTGGCTTGGTGTCGCCGGTCCGTGGCTGAGCACACCGGCCACCCCTATATAGGATCCGAAGCCTCGGTGCTCCCAGCGCCGCACTCAGCCGAGTGAGCCACGGGGTCAACCCCAATTCCTCATATTTAAACTAAGAAACCAAAACTATAAAAAGTTAAGTGACTTTAAGATCCCAAAGTTACTTAGAAATGACTAACGCCCAGTAAGTGGACTTTACAACAGATCCTTATAAATTAGGTCCTAGGAAATGCCATTTATGCCAGCATCAAAAAACTAACACTAATAATGTAAGATATTATATATTCTGTTTTTCTCGTCACCAATAAAAAAACTATCAGTCGGCTGAGCCCGTGGCGCACTCGGCAGAGTGTGGCACTGGGAGCGCAGTAGCCTCCCACTGCGGTTCGGATCCTATATAGGGATGACCAGTGCGCTCACAGCGCTGGCTGGCTGAGTGCGCTGCGGCCAGTCTCAAAAAGGACACACACACACACACAAAAAAGCTATCAATCAATAAATTGCAAACCAACTGGCACTGGGAGCGCAGTAGCCTCCCACTGCGGTTCGGATCCTATATAGGGATGACCAGTGCGCTCACAGCGCTCGCTGGCTGAGTGCGCTGCGGCCGGTCTCAAAAAGGACACACACACACACACAAAAAAGCTATCAATCAATAAATTGCAAACCAACACATTTTAAATAAAAATAAAATGTTATTGGGGAACTAACAATGAAATATTGAATATATTGAAAATAAGCAAATAAACCTGCCAACATCTAAGATATGTTTATGGGTCAAAAATTATCAAGAAAGCAATCATGTTTAAATTCTGTGCTGTCTTTATGGCAGGTCTGAGAATCAATAAGGCCTACAACTAAGAATTATTAAATTTAAAATCTGCCTGTGTTACTGAGCAGTATTTTAAATATATCCTATTCATATAAATAAGAATACAAGGGATCGTCAAAAAGTTCATGGAAAGATTCATATTATCTTTTAATTCCACTTTCCCACTAATATTTAAAAGTAGCCTCATACATTAAAATATTCTAAGCAAAGCAATGTCTTTGCTTTTGGCCTTGCTCCGTTATTTAACCAATGCTGGTTTGAGATTGGGGTTTTTTTGGCCTTGTTCTCTCTTTTTTTTTTTTTAACTCATTAAATAATGTACCTGATTAAATATTTTGAGAACAGGTAATCGGTACAATCTGGATTGCATTGTTTATCCTTCTTAACATCAAAAGCAATAATATATTATGTTCTGAAAGATGAGATGAATAATAAACTGTACTTTTGATATGCTTACGCAAACTTCCCCTAATTGTATATTCAGCATCATTTTTTAAAAGTAGATTTACATTATTTTATCAGCTCAGAAGGACTGGTATTCAAGAACCTACAGAAAACTCTCTTCCTTCCAAGCCAAGAGCACCAAGAACTACTCCCTTTCTTCAGCTCAATGAAACAAAAAATGTAGAACAAGATGGTAAGATAATTTGTTGGGTTTTCTTCTTGAAATTCCCATTCTCAGGACCTGTTGTAGACTAAAAGAATAAAGAGACATATTCACCAAATATAATGTGCCAACCAAAATTGGATCCTGGGTTGTTTTTTTTTTAAACCCTATGAAAGACATTTTTAAGATAATCAGGGAAATATAAATATGGACTTAATATTAGATGATATAAAATGATTATTGATTTTCTTAGATGTGACAATGGTATTGCAGTTATGGAAGAGAATGACCTCATGTTTAAGAGATACATATTGAAATATTTCAAGGATTAAGGGTCATTATGTTTGCATGAGTGTGTATATAAAGCAAACATGGCAAAATGTTAATTGTTGAATGGAGACAGAAAGATTATGGTATTTTCTTCAACAATTCTTTCCACTTTCCAGTTTGCTTAAAAATTTTCATAAGCAAAACAAAGGTTACAGGGAACAAAGTCTCCATTCCCACCCAAACTTAATAAAATGATATACTCTCAAAATATTTATTTTTTACATAATTTGTAAAGAAAAGAGATTCTGTTACTTAGTTTTCTCCGTGTATGTTCACTCTTTCAATATATGTGAGTATCTGTTGACCATGTTATGTATAAGCACTATACTGTTTCATATGTATTTTAGCCACTTTATATTCTTCCTATGTATGGCAAAAAAAAAAAAAAGTGTTCAAAACACTTGTCACTTTTATTTAAAAGAAATCAGTTGGTAATAACTATTTTTATATTCTTTGCATAACATGCCATCTAGTAAAAATTTTTTAGCATAAACATTACAGGAAAAAGATATGTTCACCACAATTCCATGAAATATCAAGTAAAATCTCAAGTTCCAAAGATATCACTCCTATTTCTAAATCTTATGTAATAACATTTTGTTGATCCTAGGCATTCCTACTGATTGTACCACCATTTATAACAGAGGTGAACATACAAGTGGCATATATACCATTAGACCCAGCAACTCTCAAGTTTTTAATGTCTACTGTGATGTTAAATCAGGTAAAAAAAAAAAAACAAAAACCTGCCTAAGGAGAAAATGGACAAGCAGTTCAAGTTACTCACTACCTATTACCAAGACAAACTATGTTATCTTTGTTCTGCATATACGAGGGTACTTCAAAAGGTTCACAGAGAGATTTGTATTATCTTTTAATTCTATTTTTTCCACAAACCTTTTTGTTAAATTTTTTTTTTTTTTTTTTTTGGTGGCTGGCCAGTAAGGGGATCCAAACCCCTGACCTTGGTGTTATCAACACCACATTCTAACCATCTGAGCCAACCAGCCGGCCCTTGCATTAACTTTTTGAAGTGCCCTCACATATAAAATGAGTATTAATATAAATCTAGTACTTATATTTACCTTGTTTATTTATGCATTCATTCAATATTCTCCATTTCCTCTGTAAAATAATATGAAGTGACTATTGTCAGTAAGTTTACTAATATCCATTAGTTGCCCTTCACTTAACTTTTGGGGGCCATAATAAATAACAAAATGTATTACTATAATATTAATAAACTATCTTTCATAGCAACCAATTAAAACCAAACAAAAAAAATAGTATTTCTTACATCTGTCAACATCAATCTACTGAAAATACACAATTTATTTCCTTATATTCAGGTAGTCCATGGACAGTAATTCAACACCGAATAGATGGATCACAAAACTTCAATAAAACTTGGGAGAACTACAAATATGGTTTTGGGAGGCTTGATGGTAAGGTGATTTCATTCAATTATTCATTTACTTATTAATTTAAAAATATTTATTGAGAAACTATTATGGAGTGTGTACTGGGAATGTAGCAATAAAGGAGAAATAGTCCCAGCCTTAATAAAACTTATTAACAAATAATTACATATTTGTTAGTAATTACACTTATTACAACTGTCATTATTATTTAAATTATACCTATCAGAATTACATGTCTGTTCTTAATTATACTTATCACAATTTAATTAAATGGCTTATAATTATAATTATTAAAGACAATTTTGATTAAGTGCTATGTGCTTTGATGAGTGCTAAGTGCTATGAGTAAGCTACAAAGAAAACCATTCCTAGCACTAACTAGGAATTAATTAATTCTCTTATTAACATTTTGGGTGTTAATTAATTATCTTATTAACATTTTGGATATCAATTAACGGAGGGTGGAAGAGACAAGGAAATTGTCATATATGTGGTTCAAATTTCTAAACTTCAATTATTTAAATATTATAACTATACTATAGAATGTGTGGCTTAAAATGAATTAGTTAACTCAATACAAATTATTCTATTTTGTTCATAAATATAAAACAAGAAAAATAAAAATAACAGATTTTTAAAATCAAAAAAGCATATGACAAAAATCCATGAATGATGTACAAGTACTCAGTGATAATGTAGAAAACATCATTATATCAAATTTTTAAACACTCATTACTATTTGACCATTAAAATTTTCTTTTTCAGTCAAAAATGATTTATTCAAATGTGTTATAGTATAATTTTCACAAAAGTAAAATCATGACTCTCATAATATAAACATGTATAACAAATAGTCATTGAACGCACTTATTCATAATGGAACCAATAAAATGTTAAGACCAGTTCAAGAAGCGTTTGAGGAACTATTATACATCCATGTGAGCACGTGCACATGCGTGCACACACACACAGAAATGTTCAGATAAGATGGTTGGGGAAGATACAAAACTGGTACTATCTTATAGGCAGTAATATTTAGTGTTATCTGTTTCACTGGACAGGAGTTATTTCTATTTTTACTGAACAAAAAGTCTACAAATTAATGCCTGAGAACTTTAATTAATAGTGTACAGTAAGTCTTGGTAGGTATCTTCTCCTATCAGTGATTCTGAAGTTGTAGTTCCTGGATTAGCAGCATCTACTTCGCTTGGGAATTTGTTAGAAATGAACATTCTCAGATCCCATCCTAGATCTACAGAAATCAGAATGTTTGATCCAACAATCTGTGATTTAGTAAGTCCTTCATATAATTCTGAATGCACAGTGAAGCTTGAGAACCACTTTCCTGGATAATCCTTGGATGGCTATCACCCCAATATGATACTGAAGGGACACAGTACCCAACTTTTTGCCTTACTTTCAAATTTTGCCTATGTTTTTCATAACAAACAAAAATGTTAATACTTTGCACTCTTTATTTTTCCCAGAGTTTGAAAATGCCTTCTGATACCACTTCCACATTTAGGGCCATCTTTTGTCCCTGACTCCGTAGACACTTTTGTAGGATGAATCCCAACTATTTTTAAAAAAGAAAAATGCTAATGTTATAATATTTTTATAAAATAATCTTTGTGCATATAATTTTCATATAATTTATAAGGAAATTTAAGAGATGTGGGTTGAAAGTCAAATTATAATGGAGTCCACAAAGCTCATGTATTTGCCATGAGAGATCTCATCTTCTAATGTTGGTAAATGCATTATTTCTTCTGCACAATAAATGTTATTGTTAAATGAATAGTTAACATTGATTCTTTTGTTGCACATTCCTAATGAAATTATAGTTCTTTTAAGGTGTGCTGACAGGACTAATTTCTTTTTTTAATACACAAAAACACAAACCCAAGTATGTATATTTATTCGCACAAACCCACACCCACATTTTGTTTTGTTTTGTAGTTAAATCCCTAACTAGTGATATGTTTTGTGGCTCCAAATATTCTTTAAGAATAAGTATAACCCCAAAATAAAAGGCTGACAGTTAAGTCCAAAATACTCATTTATTACTAATAAGAAAGTAAGCCATTTGTACTTGCATTTACCAGCAATCCTTAAAATGAAGTTTCCTACTAACTGAAGAGCAATAAGAAATTACAACTTTTTTATTAAGTCCTTTTATAAAAACACTTAATATTAAGCACTTTTATTAAGTATTGTAATAAAGAATGACCTATTTATATTTATGTTATTTATGTTTTTAGTTCCAATAATTTTTTTTTTCCTTTTTGTCTTTTTTCATGTCCGGCAACGGATCGCAACCCTCAGTGTCGCGCCCGTACCGGACCAGGACCAGCAACGGGGTCGCAACCCTCGGTGTTGTGCCCGCACCTCGCTCAGCCAGTGAGCGGGAACCAGTCTGTATGTGGGATCCGAACCCTCAGCCGCCGCACTCCCAAGCGGCGCACTGTAGCAGTGCGCTACTGGGCCGGCCCTAAAAATAATTTTTTTAATTATAGAGAAAAGTTATTAAGAACGATGTTTTTGAATTTAAAATTTTTTTGAAATTTATTCCTTTTTCCTACAACGAAAACATAACTATCAAGCAAAAACCAAAGTTTAGGTTTATATTTGAGGAAAAGTACATCACTATTATCAAAGTTTCTGAGAATACTTAACAAATCTCTTGTCAATATATGAGTATTAATAAATAGGTACTAGAAAAGCTGGTATATATAAGGACTTATAAATGAGATATTATTCTACCAATGACCAGATCTAAAAACATCTATAATAGTCTAATATGTTTCATATGTGATACATGTCTCATAATACCCACTGTAGAAAGGATAATCAGATTTTTATGCAGGCCTATTAATATTTTTAAACATTTTTTTTGTACATATAACTATCGTCAATAAAATTGTTCTAAAAATAAATATTTTAAGAGACTCTAAAATGACCAAGGGAGTCAAGACTAAAACAACTCATTTACTTACACTAATGAAAAACACTCAAAAAAACTGTCAGTGCTCAATCTGTAGTTAACAATCTACAGATTTTTAACACTTATTTTTTCAGGAGAATTTTGGTTGGGCCTAGAGAAGATATACTCCATAGTGAAGCAATCTAATTACATTTTACGAATTGAGCTAGAAGACTGGAAAGACGACAAGCATTATATTGAATATTCTTTTCACTTGGGAAATCACGAAACCAACTATACGCTACACCTTATTGAGATTACTGGCAATGTCCCCAATGCACTCCCAGAACATAAAGATTTGGTGTTTTCTACGTGGGATCACAAAGCAAAAGAATACTTCAACTGTCCAGAAAGTTATTCAGGTATCCTTTCTCTAATACCAATACTTTATTTTCATATCTTCAAAATATCTTCCAACAGTATTAGTCATTATCTACAACGTCAACTCATTAAAATTCTAATCTCAAATAAGTATTTTCTTTATAGGTAAAGATCTCATAACTGTCATAATAAAGTGTTAATTCTAGTTCAACTAGGTATTGTACCTCTATTTAAAATTGGGATACATGCATTTATAACACTATAATATTTATAAGAAATGAAGATATACTCATAGGGAAATATAACAGTAACTGATATGAGTTCACATCCATTAAATTGCCTATCTATCTTCTTTAGGAGGCTGGTGGTGGCACAATGTATGTGGAGAAAATAACTTAAATGGTAAATATAACAAACCAAGAGCAAAATCTAAGCCAGAGAGGAGAAGAGGAATATGTTGGAAGTCTCAAAATGGAAGGTTATACTCTATCAAGTCAACCAAAATGTTGGTCCATCCAACAGATTCAGAAAGCTTTTAATGAACTGAGGCAAATTTAAAAGCCAATAAATTAAACATTATACTCATCCCAAGATAATGTGGTTTAATAATCTGGTATTAAATCCTTAGCAGAAAGCTTAAGAAATAGATTTTATTTTAAAGTCACTATCAATTTAAGATTAAACATACCATCACATCACCTCAAAGAACATAATTTACCTTTCTCAATCAAACTTCTTATGATATCATTTGTTCATATATTTTGTGATGTGGGAATCAATTATAGATGGTCACAATCTAAATTATAACCAATCGGTGAATTTTTAAATAACTTTTTAAAATAAAAAAAACTTACAAAGAGGCTTTTATTTCAAAAATCATCACGTGGGTTAATTTCACAGCTCCCCAGTTTAAAAACTAGTTTTCTTATTAAAATTCTAAACTCAAATAAATACAAAGGACTGATAATTGTACAATTCTTAAATATTATAATATTATTAATCTCAAAACTAAAATCCAGTCAGTTCAGAGTACATGTGAAAACTTGAAGTATGAATTTTAAAACTGATACTTCATTTTGCTACAAAATAACTTGCACTAAATGTTTGATATGGTTTACTTATGAAGTCAAATGACGCAGGATGAAATATGAGGGTACTTGAAAAAGTTCATAGAAAAACTGAATTAAAAGATAATACAAATCCTTCCATGAACTTTCTGAAGACCCCTCATAGTGTATTAAAATAGGTTCACTGTCTTTTAAACAAATGCAGTAAATCTTGATTACTAAGTCATATTGACTTTAAAATCAGACATCACTGGTACTTTAACATATTTGTTAACGTATCTATACTGTATGCATTTTATATATTTTAACAATACTGTGAAAACAAATAATTTTAAAGGGATCTTCTCAAATACAATAAGAATTAATGTTATGAAGGTACTTCAAAAGTTCATGGAAAGATTATCTTTTACTTCTATTTTTCCACAGACTTTTTTAAGTGCCCTCATATTTGTGACAGCAAGTTAAAGTTTAATAATAATTTATTCCCCCCGGACATGCTGTAAGTATAATACTTTTGAGTAAGTTTTGAAGTAGAATGAAACACCGTAACAAGTTACTGAATGTTTAAACAGCCTGACAGACATGTATGTATGTTTAAAATTAAATAAAGACTCAATACCTCAATTATAGAAATTTAAATTCTTGCAGTTTTTTATTGATACCACAATATACATATGATTGTTGTTTTTTTTTTTTTTTAAAAGATGACCAGTAAGGGGATCTTAACCCTTGACTTGGTGTTGTCAGCACCACGCTCAGCCAGTGAGCGAACCGGCCATCCCTATATGGGATCCGAACCCGGGGCCTTGGTGTTATCAGCACCACACTCTCCCGAGTGAGCCACGGGCCGGTCCATGATTGTTATTTTTAATTTTAATAATTTAAACTCTAAATCCCGAAGGGTTATAAGATACAAATTTTCTGGCCATAATATCACTCAATATTTATTCTTAAGTAAGTTTTTAAAGAAACTACCAACAAGAAATAAAATTTTGAATTAAACCCAGTTTTTAAAAGATACAGTGCCCAAGTTATATAGTGACTTACCTTAGTAAATAAATATCAAGCATTATGTGTTTAATTGATCCAATATATGTCATATATATATTTTATATATCACATATATAAAAGATATGTATATATAATCTATGTGGATCCTACATAAACGTCTTGTTTCAGAAAAGTACAAAAGAATAAAGGCACAAATAGGCTACAATTTTCAGAGCCACAGCCCACGCTGACAAAATTAACGTTAATTTTTTAGAGTTAGAATGCCAGAGTGGCTTATATTTTTCCTTCCTCTGTTAAGTTTTCCTATTTTTTTTACAACCCTCATAAAATACGTATAATTTTGTTCCTTTCAGGAGTATTGTTAGATTTTTTTCCCCCAATAAAGTTCAGATTGAGAGAGAACTCTGACAGAGAAAGAGAAAAGAGTTTTTTCAAATTTCACCACTAACTCGCAGTTGTCTGATCTAATGCACTTTTCTCAGTCTACCTTCCCTTTGATCACTCTACTACTTATTAAATACAATATCCTTTCTTCAAACTTGATGTTCATTTTGCTTCCACAATACACTACACTCTCCTTGGATTATCCCTTACTGGATCCATCTTCACGGCCTCATTACTCCTTGCATTTAGTATTGCAAGCCAACACACAAACTTCCATCATCTTTTCTACTCTGACCCTCAGACATTCTATCTACTCTTATGGACTCATCTACTTTCCATGAATAAAATTCTGAAATCTACATATTCATTCCAGGTAGGTTTCCAGTTTCCCTTCTTACATTGCCTACCTGCCATTTCTACCTTTGATATCCTACAGTCTCTTCCAATTCAACATACCAAATAACACAATTATCAACCCTTACTTTATCTGCTGTACCTTTCTACCCATTTACACCCTCCTCCTAACCTCTTTGCATCCATTTAATATCATGACCATGCTCCCAGTCACAGAAGCCTGGAAACTTGAAAGACATCTCTGACTTTTCACTTAGCTTTGTAAACCACCTTTCCTGTATCCTAAACCACCAAGTCTAATACAATCTTGTTTTGAAACGTCTCTTAATTTGATAAGCTTTCTTCCCAAGAACTGTCTTTAACCTGAGTCGTAGGTTATCTAATTATCTAGGTCCTAATTTTATGTCTCTCTCCCCTCAATATTCCTGAAACAAATTTGTAATAGTTGTATACTACTTTCATGCTGTGTCTTTCAAGCTTGTCTACTGAAGAAGTTTAACAGCTTATGATAATGAAAACATATCCTTACCAGTTCTGGAGTTATAGGATATAATAATAGCTTGCCATAGCATAGATCTCTTTTAGGATCTTATTGAGATCTTAAATCTTAGAAATTTATTTTAAAATTGCATGTGAATTGTGTTTTACACTCCATAAATCTATCTTCACATGAAAATAGTTATTTTCCCCCAAAATCTTCTAAAAAGGGATGTTCCTACAAGTGTCATGTTTATCCTGTAGACTTGCATATCCCATATATTTGTGCCCTCACAAGAATGTATACCCTGATTAGACAAGCATAGGCATACAGAACAAAATCCAAATCTCTTCTTAGGTATTCAAGTATCTCTACAATCTGACCCCAAATTACCTCCTTAACCATTTTTTGCCCAACACAAAACCTCTGCTCTAATCAAAACAGTCTTCTTTTAAACATCTCCTCTATATTTTCCTAATGTATCCCATTTGTCTGCAACATCTCTGCACACCTTTCTGATTGGCTAGGTCCTATTTATACTTCAAAGTGAAGGTAATCTGGCTTCTTCTACAAATATCCTAGTAAATGGCAGCTCCTTCCTCTGAAACCATGCAGCACTACTGCATGTACCCCTCAAATGACACTTAGTAAGTGATGAAAGATAAATCTGGCAAAACATAATAAAATTTCTAAAAAAAAAAGTAATAAAACCTCCAACAGCATCAAAATAGTCAATCTACTTGATTTCAGTGAATTACTAGACATTTTCTATAACAAGATTTTTTTCTGTACTACGACAAATTTTACTGAGAGCAAGTACACACATTTCTCATGTCAGGATCATATATCGTAATATAATCTGCTCACATACTCTTTCATCCTAGAATCAGCATGTTTTCAGGCTTGTATCTTTTCTTCCTAGTAACAAAGCTCATGGAAGTCCACTTAATCATTCATTAATCAAAAATGTATTTATTAACCAATATTTATTGAGCATCTACTATTTGTCTCCTTTATGAAACCTATTCCAAATCTGTATCCTTACACATTATACCTTCTATTGTAAAATAATCAAATTTCCTTGAGTTTTTTTCCTGTCACTAACAACCACAAGCATTGCATTTATGCATGTACTACTAAGTGATTATCACACACATTAGTTTTAAAAACTGAAAAAAACCAATTGGCCCTAATATCTAAGTCAAAAGTAGTCTCGTGGCAAATCAATTAGAGCAAATTACTCAACTGGTGTGAAATATGTAGTTCAAGGTCATTAAAGTAGGATTAACAATGTCCCATAATAAGCTTTTATAAAATGAGGTTTCAATGACATTTTAGAAAATATAAAATGTAATTAAGAATTCCATCAACAACATAAAAGCTGTTTTTCTAAAGTCACATGGTTAGACCTATGAACAGTCATACTACCTAGTAAAACGATTAGGTATATGTGAAAGAGCAATAAACTACAACCTTAAAGATGTGAGGTTGTAAACAAAAAACAAAACAAGTGCCGACCCCGTGGCTCACTCAGGAGAGTGCAGCACTGGGAGCGCAATGGCACTGGGAGCGCAACGGCGCTGGGAGTGCCGAGGCCGCAGGTTCGGATCCTATATAGGGATGGCCGGTGCGCTCAACGGCACTGGGAGCGCAACGGCGCTGGGAGTGCCGAGGCCGCAGGTTCGGATCCTATATAGGGATGGCCAGTGCGCTCACTGGCTGAGCGCGGTGCAGGCCACACCACACCAAGGGTTGCGATCCCCTTACCGGTCAAAAAAACCCAAAAAACAAAAAAACAAAAACAAAAAAATTCAAAGAGGCCCAGTGCTCTCTCAATTCTCAAATGATAAAGCATTCAATCATAAAAAACAAAAGGAAACCCAAATAAACAGGTTATCTTAAACAGCTACTAACACACGTTTATACAATTTCCAACAACTCAAAAAGCAAAACGATACTCACTGATAATTTATAAATCCACTTAAATCTTTTAGTGTATGAGCTCACTATTCACTCCCATTTAATTTCTGTAACATGATTAGATTTTCTATATTGGCCCTACTTTCCATTAATTCATAGACATGATATTCTACAATGCCATTTATATCAAGTGCTATAATTAGGTCAACTGTAAGGCATTAAAAAAATATTAAGCAGAGATAAATAATGATGTAGATTTTGAGACAAACAGATAAATTAAGGTGTTCTTACCTGCTTTATTAAAAATGTAGCAAATATCTAGCAACAAGAAATTTTAATTTAATCCATACTGTATATAATTATGAATATCGGATGTCCTATCATCCAAAAGCATGAAGAATGTAGAAAATTAAATTAAAAGACCTGAGATTAAGTCTCTTAATCTCAGCTTTATTTTTTCCCCTATAAGTGAAGATACTACCAGAATTATATAATTTATAAAATTTCTATGAGACTGAATAAACTAATTTAAATAAAAACAATTCACATAGGGCCGGCCCGGTGGCGCACTGGATAAGTGCGCCGCTTGGGAAGCGCGGCAGCGCTCCCGCCCGAGAGTTCAGATTCCACATACAGACCGGCCGCTCGCTGGCTGAGCGAGGCGCGGGAGCGACGCCGAGGGTTGCAATCCCGTTGCCGGTCCCCGGTCCGGTGCGGGGAAAACACTGAGGGTTGCGATCCGTTGCCGGACACGGAAAAAGACAAAAAAGACAAAAAAGACAAAAAAAAAAAAAAACAATTCACATACTATAAAACACTAAATAAATATTATCATATCAACACATCAACATGAAACTTTGGAACACAAGGGAAAAAAAAAAAAAACTCAAAAAGCTATCAGAGGAAAACTAAGAAAAAAGGATTAGCAACGAAAATCATAGACCACTCAAAAACACTTAAAGCCAGAAGACAGTAGTCATATTTTCAAAATTCTGACAGAAAATGACTTACAACTTAGATTTTTATACCCAGCAAAACTAACAATTTGGAAGTAAGGGTAAAATAAAGATATTGTCAGACATAATGGCTTTCAATGAAATGGGCAAACCAAGAAAGAAAAATACATGGAAAATAAAGACTCCATTACAAAAGAGAATTTCCAAGATAATGGTAAATAGGTTCTAAGATGACAACTGTACAGTAAGCCTAATAAGCCTAGATATCTTCTTCTGCATATAAGTTGCAAGAGGGGAAATAACTGATTATCTGTTATATTTCACTGTACTGCAAGAAGTTTTACAGAGAGTTTTAGTGATAAGACAGAAAAGGAGCCAGATCATGTACAGTCTTATAGACCATTATACAGAATTCATTCTTTTTCTCTCTGTTTTGAAAGCCACTGGAGGGTTTTAGTTCGAGGAATGAATAATCTGACTTGCAATTTTTTAAAGATCTCTCTGACTGCGATGTTGAGAAGTGATGGGGAGACAGAGATAGAAATAAGATGAAATTAGGTATAGCAAAATTTGAGACCAACTGTCCAATATGGTAGCCTCTAGCCCCTTGTGGCTATTAAGCATTTGAAATGTGGCTCATCTGAATTGAAATGTGCTTTAAGTATAAAATACACTCTAGATTTTGAAGAGTTTTAGTAGGGGAAAAAGTAAAATATCTCAACAATTTTTTACAATTATTACTTGTTGAAATGATATTTTAGATATATTGGGTTAAATAACACATATGATTGAATTTAACTTCATTTGTTCCTTTTTTTAATGTAGCAACTATAAAATTTTACATTACAAATGTGGTTCCCATTATATTTCTATGTGACAGATTAAAATTTTTAAAAGATGGAAGTGGTAAGAAGTATTGGATATGAAATATACTTTGAAAATTGAGCCTATGTAACTTGGCTGAAAAAATGTGAGGGGTAAGGAAAAGAGAGAAATCATTATGATTCTGAAAATTTTGACCTCAGGAACATGATAAATGGTGGTGAAATATGAGTATGATAGAATGGAAAGGTCTGGAATAAAACTCAAAGTTCTATTTGAGAATCACATGTCTGTTGAGATATGTCAAGTCTTGGTCTCAGCATTCACAAATAAAGGAGCATCATTCATAAGGAGTATATGCAAATAGTACAGCTAGAGTTGCATAGGGTTCAGCCTGAAAAGTTGTATCCAACCACTTCATGCCAAGTATTCTGTATGCAGTATATATTCAACAAAGATTGTTGATTGTTAGAACATAATGCAGGCACATAAATTTGATTCATGTATTATGCTAGATTCTGCTAATAAAAACATTCGATAAAATAGAGTAATTAGGATTTCAAGTGTTTTGACCTAACAGCCCAGGAATCAAATATTAGCCCCACCACATTAAAGTATGACGCTCAGCAAAAATTTTAACCTCCCTATCCCTCAGTTTACTCACCTTTAAAATGAAGGTAACACCTCAGACTATGAAGATTAAATAAGAAAATGCATATAAGGTCATTAACATTATACCTGGCACATAGTAAAGGCTTAATACATGACAACTATTAATAAAACTGTGTAGAAAGAAGTGGAATAAGTTACAAAGCCACATAAAATTTTTGAAGTGTTTCATTCTAGTTTTACTTTAATATTAGAATATACAGTATCTTATCTCAGAATTCTCCAAAATTAAAATCTCTTACCTATAAGTAGTGTTTGGAACGTAAACATCCCTGGCAGGAAACTCTAAAATTTCTCTGGTAGGTCTAACTCTACTGTCAGGGTAAAGCTTCACTTGAAGCAGCTCCGGAGTTAGGCAATAATGGGGATTTTCAGGTGCAGGAGAAATGTCTATCTTCAGCTGAGCTGCATATTATAAAAACAATGTAAACATAATAAATAAAAACTCCATGTTTAAAAGGTTTGGTGACAATTTAGATCCTATTTTTGCAATATGTCTGAGAAGAATACTACGGAAATCAAATTACTATCATCGCAGATCTGTCCTCTAAATCATTTCATTTTACCCAGCCTCAAACTTAAAAATTACGGATACAGACATAAATGCATGTAAATAAATGCTTACTAAATGAACAAATAGGAAGGAGGGAAGAAAGAAGCAAAAAGAAGAAAAAAACAGAGAAGGAGGTGATCTAGCATAGAAACAAGCCAACATTTAAAAAGTTAAATGATTTAATTTTGGTGTGGCAGACTTCAAAACATTTTATTCTGGAATGGTTTGTTCTAACCATAATATGAATCTGTTTCTGAATATTTACCATTCCAAGTGCGTTATTTTCTCTAGAAAATAATTTTAAGCCACGATATTATTCATCATTCTCATTTTAGCACTCAAATTATCAAAGGTGCTGAATCCTGCATTCAAAATGTTGGACCACTTGATAATTAATGAGATGAAAAAGATTGACAAGCACTGAGCATACAAAAATATATCCATCAGATAAGTGAAAAAAAAGGAATACATAATTATATAATGCAATATAGTAGTGATGATGATTAGTGTTATCATGTCTACTCAAAATTTTTAAATACCTGTAATAGGTCTTAGACGCCGTAAGACAGAGGATGGCCTTCTCATATCAGCAAGGAATTTGTACAAATCTTCATCACTTAAACGGTCACCTTCCTAATTTCAAAGACAGAGGAAAAGTATTCAATAAAACAAATCTAGTAGATAAATTTACATTTCTTGTTAATAAGCATACCCTTCTGCCTACAATGTAGTCAGAATGAAAAATTAAATTAAATTTAATATAATTATGATTATAAACAATCGTCCTTTTTTTGTAATTTCAAATTTTACTAAGATTTATGATACTACGATCTTTTTATTCTTTGCCTATAAGGTATTACACAATACCCTAAAATATAGAAAACCAAGACAAGTTAGAGGTACATGAAAAGGAGACAATAAAAATAAAATATACATACAAAACAGAACCAAAAAGCAGAGTAATTTAAAAATACATGACAGTCTTATAAATTTGTTACACTTGATTTCATTTGTCTTTTCTGCTTTACAACACCAAATTTCTCAAATGCAAAATCTAGCATAGGCTAAATAAAAAAGAAAGAAAGAAACAATAACAAAAACTACTGTTAAGGCAAGTATTGATAGTCAACTCAGTAGTCGAAAAATATGTATAATCAATTATATTTCAATTTTTTAAAAAAACTGCTGTTAAAGAAAAGCACAACTATCCTGATACTAAGGACAGAAAAAACAACTCTTAAAGGACCTCAATCAATGGAGAAAGAGACAAAATTTTTTAAAAGAACAATATCTAACTAATTAACACACAAATTTCAATGTAATGTTAATATATTTTTTTCTCACAATTAAAATAGCAAGGGCTTGATTTTTCTTTTTTTTTTATTGAAGAGTCAGTCTTTAGATTTTATTAATCCAATCTGCCTGCTTTTGACGTATTATTGTTTTTAATGCATATCTCATATATTGTCCTTTTTTCTTATTTGGTAATGAAAATTTTAAGGCTACTTTGTTACTGTGAGCTCACCTGGAGCCATATCCCATTTGTTCATTATTATATTCTAAACAGGGTACAGAATTTATCTTTTTCATCCCATTATTTAGGAAAATGATTTTTAATTTCTATGTGGTTATAGATTTTTGTTAATATTTTTTAAATAGTTTTTTGCTTTATTGAGTTATGGTTAGAGAATCTGACTTTATGAAGTTTTTTTCAGTGACCTAATATGACTAATTATTGTAAATGTTCTATCAGTTGCTGAAACAGTATATTCTCTCCTTGATATAGGTCTTTAAATGATCCTTATTCATAATACATTCAGATTATCTCTAGATTTAATTATTTCTATCTACTTAACATGTTAAATTATATTACTGGCCTCCATTTGTTACTCCTTGTTCCTATGCCTTTTGGCATAATTCCCTCCCCTAGGCTTTGCCATGTGCCTTACTTTGACAAATAAGCGAACATGATGCAGAGATATGAAAAATATTTGCAAAATCTTGCCCTCTTTTGAATGTCTCCCACTGCTATGAGAACATGACCAAGCTAGCCTGCTAAAGATGAGAGTAGAAGCTGAGAGACATGAAACAGAGCTGAGTCATTTCACTCTTCCCAGTAGAAATCAATCTATATCAACTTATCCCAGCCAATCTCCAAATACGTGAAAGAGCCTAGTTCACTGAAGATGAGTACCTGACACCCTCTTTTGTAAATTGCTTGTTTACTCTTGTATACCACTGAGGCAACAGATAACTTATTATATACCTGTCAACAAATAGAAAAAAATGCCTACTGCGTGGGTTTGATTTTGTTTTTAAATCTCCATGTATTTCTAATAATTTTGGCTTGAAACATTCCAAATCTGTATATAACACTCATGATTACAATATCCAAATTGTAGACAGTAATCTCTCATAAATTGAAAAAAAAAAAAAAAAAACTGCCTTCTGTGTTTCATTGAGGGGAAACTTGTGCCTTGAATTCTACTTTATTAAAACTGTAATCTCTGTTTTTTACTTAATTTGGATTTGCCTTTGCATATATTTTTCTAGCTATTTAAAAATACTTATAAAAATAGCACATGGCCATGGCTAAAAATTTTTCTTAAATATAGAACTATAAAAAGTAAAGTGTAAACACTTTCCATTGCTCTATGTTTCTAGCAATCATTTATATTTGTTTTCATTATCACTTTGTGCTATCTTCTAGTTGCCAGTATTCAAAACAATGCCTGGTACATGGTGAGTGCTCAAAAAAGATTTGCTGAATAAATGGGTGGGGGAGTGACGGCTTGTTGATTTAAGCCTACGGTAGTAGTTCAATGATATAGTAGGCTGAGGAAAGGAAGAGAGCTGTGTAAACAGCAGAAGTGATGTAGCAGTTAAGAAGTAAAAAGAGGGGGAAGTTTCATATCTGCAAAGTGTGTCACAATATCAGGTAAATAGAAGGGTACTTCAAAAAATTCCTGTAAGAATAGAATTAAAAGAGAACATAAATCTTTCCATTAACTTTTTGAATACTTCTTGTATACTGCCCCATTTCCACAGCTGTATTTGGCCTATCACTTCATCCAAGTAACTCTCACTGTGGCCTTTTCTGTAGGCTCTTTCTTTTACTACTATCAATAATTAAAAGACCCATACCACTTCTGACACATCACCTGCTCTTTTTTTTTCATTAGAGTCTCTCAGAGCAGCTACCTATGAATATTATTGTCAGGTAACAGTGAAGGGGGGTTTCAAGTAGATTGCTGTCAATTCAAGACACATTCTGCCCTCAAACCTTGCTGTCTCAAGTTATAAGGTGTCAGAAAGCAGGATTTCTTCCTCTTACTCAGAATAATACCTTGGGAGGAGGAATTTTGAGATGATTCTTAGCATTTTGCTTTAATCCACTCCAAAACAAATGGATGGTATGCTTCTCCAGTTTGTCGCACTAATAGAAGTTTTCTCCCCATTCTTATATGGTTCTGGTCACCTGGTCACTTACAACAAAAACTTTCAAAATTTTCTGATCTTCACTCACAGTATAAAACCCATTTTATACCAAAACCCAGGGTACACATAGACACACACAAGCAGTCACACAAAACCTGGGGGGAAAAAGGCTCCCTGAAGCAATATTTAACCTCACTATGTGCCATGCACTATTACTTTTTCTATTCTACCGGTATTTTTTTATTTAAGCTGGGTGTCAGCTACTAAACTGATTTCCATTACCACTAATGGATCATGACCAGCATTTGAAAAATACTAATTTTACTCATATTGAAATGAAGGGAACAGATTTGCAAAGAATAAAATATCTTTGATCAAGAACCTCTTGGATCTATTAATTCACCTTTAAAAATAACATTGACCTGATTGTAGCACAGAAATGTACTACTAGGGCCTGAAAATTCTATTCCACATACCATAGACATGGTAGTTTAGGTCAGAAATACTTTGGGGGGAAAGACAGATGTAGGCACATAGTCACTCTGCCTAAGAAAATTCACAAACCAACAATGTTTAAGAAAAGTTACAGTATGACAATTGAAAAATAGGATATAGGTATGGAAGACTGATTGTGATGCATTACTAGTCAAGGTCAAAATTTAAATAAATATAATGATAAAACAACAAGTATAATATAAATTATATCTTGTTCTTATAGTTTTTAATTTGTATTACTCTTTTTATTCTTAAAGTTTTTAAACTTTCTGAAAATCACACTAATATACATATACAGTGTAATTACTACTTTTCTGAGACTAAAGAAATTTATATACAAACATCCCCCCAGAATTCCTACATGACAGAACAATACCTGCTTAAAAAAATTTGTCACTGTGAGAGTAGCAGGTCGAAAGCTGGTCAAATTACAAGCATCATCACCACTTGTTGTCCTTTCAAGTGATCGTCTGCCAACAATACTAGAATTTCTCCTCTCTGACCAAGATCCTTTTCGTTCTACCAAGGAAAAAAAATTAGATATTCATTTCATAAAATTTAAAATTTGTTTTAAAGTAGCTTTCCAAATACAAGGAAGAATCCACTAAAGTTGAAAATTATCAACTCAGCATACTGATTATAGTAAAAGAGTTTCACTTCTGGAGAGATCAGTAAGAAAGCACTATACCTAAATCTCCTGGTTCTCTTTTTTACAACTTCACCAGTATAAAAATAAAGACTCTAAGACACAAAGATTAATGTGAATGACCAAAAATGATCTACAAAGAGCAGCTATAGAGGAACTATGCATTTACTACAAAATACTTACACAAAGGAAATTTTAGTCTTAGCACTAGAGTTTAAAACAGAATTGTAAGATAACTCCATTCAAAGATAATTCTATTACTTAAAACCAATATAACAACTAGATTGAACATAAACAAGGAAATAGAAGACTTGAACAAAACTGTAAACAAACTAGACCTAACAGACATTTAACAGACATTCAGCATACACATTCTTCTCAAGCACCTGTAGAACACTCCCCAAGACAGTCTATATACTACATCACAAAACAAGATAGGATAAATTCAAAAGGATTAAAATCATACCAAACATGCTCTCCAAGAACAGTGGAATTAAACTATAAATTAACAACAGAAAAAAATTGGGGAAATTAATAAATATGTGAAATAAAATAGCACATTTCTAAACAGCAATGGGAAAAGGAGGAATTAACAAGGGAAATCAGAAAATACTTAAAGATGTATGAAAATGAAAATATAACATACCAAAACATAAGGGATATTGCTAAGACAGTGCTCAGAGAAAAATTAATAGTTATAAATGCCTACATTAAAAAGAAATATCTCAAATCAGTAATGTAACCTCACACCCAAGCAACTACAAAAGAAGAGAAACTAAACCCAATGCAAGCAGAAAGATACAAAAAAGATAACAGCAGAGTGGAAATAAGTGAAATAGAAACTAAATAAACAATAGACAAAAATCAACAAAACCAAAAATTGTTTCTTCAAAAAGATAAAACTGACAAACCTATACCTAAACTGATGAGGAAAAAAATAGAAAAGACTCAAATTACTAAAATCAGGGAAGAGGACACATCACTACAGACCTTACAGATAAAAAGGATTATATAGCAATACTATGAACAACTGGAGGTCAACACTTAGGTTAGATAACAATTAGAAAACTTAGACAAATGAACAAATTTCTAGAAAAGATGCAAAGTACTAAAACTGACTCAAGATGAAAGAAAACATCTGAATACACCTAAAATAAGTAAAGATATCTAATAACTAATGAAGAAACTGATGACAAAGAAAAGATTAGGCCAAGACAGTTTCACTGATGAAAGAAGAATTAATACTAGTCCTTCAAAAACTCTTCCAAAAAACAAAAGGAACATTTCACAATTTATTCTATGAAGCCAGTATTACCCTGGTACCAAAACCAGATAGAGGCATCAAGTGAAAGAAAAACTACAGATAACTATACTTTATGAATATAGATGCAAAAATCCTAAACAAAATAGTAGCAGACTCTGACAACACATAAAAAAATGATATGCCATGACTAAGTATGACTTTTCCCAGATATTTAATGTTAATTTAACATCCCAAACCCAATCAATCAGTGCAGTACACCATATTAAAAGGATATAAGACAAAAACATACAAATCATTTCAATAAAGGCAGAAAGAGCATTTGACAAAATCCAGCTGCCTTTCATAATAAAAACACTAAAAAAGTTAGGAATAGAAGGGAACTTCCTCAGCCTTCTTAAGTACTTCTATGAAAAACATATAACAAACATCATACCTGATGGTGAAAGACTGAATGAATTTGCCCTGAGGTCAGGAACAAGTCAAGGATATCACTCCTATTTAAAATTGTATAGGAGGTTCAAGTCAAGATAATTAGAAAAGAAAAAGAAATAAAGGCATTCAGATTGTAAAAGGAAAGTAAATCTATTTTTATTTGCAGATGGCATGATCTTACATAGAGAAAATCCTAAGGAATTTAGGGAAAAAACAAACCAACAACAACAATTGCAATTAATAAACGAGTTCAAAAAGGTTTCAGAATATAAGATCAATATATAAAAGTCAAATGTATTTCTATACATTAAAAAAGGACATTTTAAAAATTAAGAACACAATTCCATTTAAAACAATATCAAAAAACAACAAAATACTTAGGTATAAATTTAAAAAGAGAAGAGCAAGACTTATATACTGAAAACTAAACAACACTATTGAAAACTTAAAAAGATCTAAATAAATGGAAAACATCCCATGTTCATGAATTCAAACACAACATTATTAAGATGGCAATAATGTATAAACTGATTTACAGATTCAATGCAAGCTCTATCAAAACACCAGCTGCCTTTGTGTAGAAATTGATAGCTGATCCTAAGATTCATATGAAAATACAAAAGAACCCAAAATAGCCAAAATGATCTTGAAAAACGATAACGCTGGAGAACCCACTCTTAATTTCAAAAGTTACTACAAAGTTAAATTAATACAGTATAGCACTGGCATAAGGTCAGACATAAGCATATATATATAGCATAAGGTCAGACACATAAATCAATGGAATAGAATTGGGAATCCAGGAAAAGAACTATACATGTAGGGTCAACTGATCTTTGACAAGGGTGCTAAGATCATTCAATGGAGAAAGAACAGCCTTTTCAACAAATGGTGCTGGAAAAACCAGATAGTCACATAAAAAGAAACTGAACTCCTCCCACACACCACATACAAAAATAAACTAAAAATGAATTATAAACCTAAATGTAAGAGCTAAAACTATAAAACTCTTAGAAGAACACATGCAAGTAAATCTTTTTGAACCTGGGTTAAGTAGTGGTCTCTTAGATATAACACCAACAGCACTGCAACACAAGAAAAAAATAGAAAAATTGAACTTCATCAAAATTTAAAACTTCCATGCTACAAACAATAACATCAAGAAAAAAGAACTCATAAACTGGGAGAAAATTACTTGCAAATCAAGGGATTTGTATCCAGAATATATTTAAAAAAACTCTTACAACTCAAAGGCAAGAAGATGAAAAACCCATTTAAAAATTGGGATCAACTAAATAATAAAAAGAGAAAAACGCCATTAAAAATGGGCAAAGGTAATGAATACATATTTCTCCAAAAAAGATACAAAAATAGCCCACACAAAATGATGCTTAACATCAGTAGCTATCAGAGAGAACGGCAAATCCAAACCACCATGAGATACCATTTCACCTGCACCAGGATGGCTACAATCAAAAGACAAATAATATAAAGTGTTGTCAAAGATATGGAGAAATTGGAACCTTCATACACTGCTAGTGAAATTTCTGAAGGTGCAGCCAGGTTGGAAAACAGTCCAGCAATTCCCAAAAGGTTAAACACAGAACTACCATATGATCCAGCAATTTCACTCCTAGGTTTATAACCAAGAGTAAAGAAACATATGTCCACACAAAAGCCTGCACATAAATGTTCGATGCAGCATTATTCATAATAACCAAAAAGTGGAAACAATCCAAATGACTATCCATTGATGAATATAGATAAACAGAATACAATATATCATACAATGGACTATCATTTGGTAATAAAAAGGAATCAAATTCTGATACATGTTATAACTTGAAAGAACCTTGAAAACATTATGCTAAGTCAAAGAAACTAGCCACACAAGAACACACATTGTATAATTCCATTTGTATGAAATGCCCAGCATAGGCAAATCCATAGAGACAGAAAGTATATTAGTGGTTATTTAGGGCTAGGTTTGGGGTATTGATGGAATGAAGAGTGACTGCTAATGGGTACAAAAGTGTTTCAAAATTAGATCATGGTGGTGGTTGCAGAACCCTGTGAATATATCAAAAAACACTGTATTGTACACTTTAAAGGGGTCAATCATATGGTACATTACTTATATCTCAATAAAAGTATTAAATGAAAAGAAAAAAAAGACATCTTTTTATGCCACATCACATTTCAGAGTTTACAAATTAAACAAGCCTATGTAAGAAAAAAGAAAAAAATTATACATTCAGAAATATTTTATATACAACACTCTTACCTCCAGTACTGATTTCTACTTCTGTGGAATCTCTTTCCAAACTCCCAGCACTGCTGACAATATTCATTAAATGGATGGCAGTCCAAGCAAAAGGCATACGATACTTCCCAAGTCTTTGGCAAAACTGATCAGCTTGACTTTTCAGCTTCTCCAATTTTTCCTTATTCTGCAAAACAGGACTTTACACATTATATGATTATACTCAAAATAAATCACCCTGACCTGCAACCAGGCAAGTGACAGAGCACATGACACAGGGGCCATGGGCCACACTGCCCCCACTCACAACCAGGCAAGCAACAATGCACACCCAGGGTCCTGAGACAGGGGCTGTGGGCCATCGCCCCCACCCAAAGAACATCATGACACAGGGGCCATGGGCCACACTGCCCCCACTCACAACCAGGCAAGCAGCAATGCACACCCAGGGTCCTGAGACAGGGGCTGTGGGCCATCGCCCCCACCCAAAGAACATCTTAGAATGTATTTATTCACCATGTATCTTTCTTTGGAGTGCGTGACTTGTCTGCTCATGTCCTTCATCATATTTCTGTTAAGATTTTTCTAATTCACTTTTAAGAGTTCTTTATGCATTAAGGATGTCAATCTCTGTGTTAAATTTGTTCCTTATCAATTGACTTTAAATTCAATTTGTGATGTTTTACTTTGTATGTATGTTGAGAAAATAATTTTCTATCTAAACATTAAGTTTAAAAAATCAATTAAAAGCTATTCATCCTATATAAAGAAACAGGTTAATAATTCTTAATTCTCAGCAAAGATGGAAAAACAATCTGTACTTTTCAGAGACCAAGTAACAATGTTTTATCTTAACCAGTGAACAGCCTCAACCTATTCTACACTTGTATACATAGAGTAAGTCTTTGAAACTTCTGTTTGGGAGAAAAAGAAGGAAAGCAAGTACCAAATATGTTTATGTACTGCAAGTATTATTTTCGTAAAGAAAGCAAAACCATGATCTACTCAGCCAACTGCTAACTACAAAATATTCTAGCTTATGATTTGTTAAATTGTGTTACTCTGTAAAATGGAAGCAGCTGAGCCAATGTGAAATAGTCCTTAATTTACAGCAACCATGAAGTGGGAATGGCGGGCACAAATAAGCCAATGATAAAGACACCCAGAGCTGAATAAAAGAAGCAAAGGAAAAAAGGATTATAAGAGGACTAAATCCTAGAAAAAGACTAATGGTCCAAACGGTTCATGCACATCTGGAAGACATCTTGAGGCTGGCTCAATTTTTAGGCTACCCCTGAAACACACACTAAGGTAGCCCTCAATAGCCAGCCAACAGTCCAAGACTGAAAACCTATACCACCTCTCTCACATACTCTTCGCATATATAATGTTGGAGAGGTATACTCTAATGACAGTGTCCTTCCTTGCGACTCAGGTCTGCAAAAAGATGGAAAGATAGCTAAATGATAGCACAGTTTATTGCTATATCTATTAAACATCCAAAATAGATTTTTGCTTTAAGTATCAAGTATAATTAATTCTATTACTCTATTTAAAAATGTAAGGGAATAGTAGAGTAAGCTGCTGGTATACATATGAGCTCCATATAACAGAGCAAATATAATTTGTAAAATGACAACCTGGAGAAAGCCAGAATATGTTAACCCTGAGTTCAACCGATGGTCAAGAAGAGTATCATGTGCCGAGATCTACCTATATTAGCAGAAAAAGCTCAGTTTCTGTTCTGAATTTCAGAAAAATAAAAAGCAAAACATTTTCCACATTTTGGGGGCTTGCCCAGTATTCCTCAAGCATACTTCTCCTGGCTGTTACAGTATTAAATTCTGTGTTCAAAGATCCAAGGATCACCTGTATTCTTGTAAGTAATTTAGGGTATCTGGAATTCGGTATTAATTATTCAACAACTTTTTTGCTTTAATAAGTTTATCAAAATTCTAGAAATTAGTCATCTGATGGCAAAACAGAGACTGTACTTTTGACTTTTTACTATATTCCTTAAATATGTAGAGTCAAATGGAAGCCAAGAACATTTATGTTTTGCTAGGAAAAGTTCCATCAATATCACTATTTTGTAAATAAAGGAAATTTTTAATTGTTTAGGAATAAAATTGAATTAACTTAGTTCTCTCCAAGAAAAAAAAATTTAAAGAATCAATTAATTTTCGGTGACGGAAATTTTAAATAAAAGCACAGAACATGACACAAGCTACGTGACAAAGAAAATAAAGAAAAAATTCGGTGACGAAAATTTTAAATAAAAGCACAGAACATGACACAAGCTACGTGACAAAGAAAATAAAGAAAAAAGGAAGAAAGGAAGTAGGCCAACAGAAAAAATTAATTAATAATGAAATTCTTTAATATGTTTGTATAATATTCTCCCAAATTACAATAGTAATCCTGTGAGGAAAATGAGAACAATAACATTCTACCTTGCTGGCATCTGCTTCTTTGAAAATCATATATGGTTCTGCACACTCTCCAATGTCTCCTTGCTGAAGGACTTTTTCTAGCTGTCAAAGGATAAAAAGCAAAGATTAATTAAGCTTTAAAAAAAAACAGTCAGCCTGAAATGCAAGAATGGTTCACTACACTCAAACATAAATCAATGTAATACGCCACATTAACAAAGTGACCGAAAAAAAAAATACACGATCATCTCAATTGATACAGAAAATGCACTGTACAAAATTCAACAACTTTTCATGGTACAAATACTCAACAAACCAGGAATACAAAGAAACTACCTCAACAAAATAAGGGCCATATATGAAAAGCCCACAGCTTACATCACACTCAATGGTGAAAGACTAAAAGCTTTCCTCTAAGATCAAAGGATGCCCACTTTAGTCTCTTCTATTCAACATAGTACTGGAAGTGCAGGACAGAGCAGTTAGGCAAGAAAAAGAAATAAAAGGCATCTGAATTGGAAAAGAGAAGTAAAATTATTTCTGTAGATGACATAATCTTTTATGTAGATCTAAAGATGCCACACACACCAAAAAAGGTTAGATCTAATAAATTAATTCGATAAAGCTGCAGAATACAAAATCTACACACTAACAATGAGGAATCCAAAAAGAAAATTCAGAAAACAATTTCATTTACAATACCATCAAAAACAATAAAATATTTGGGAATAAACTTATCCAAGGAAGTTAAAGATTTGCACATTTAAAACTGTAAAACACTGCTGAGAGAAATTAAAGTAGAGCCAAATAAATGGAAAGATATCCCATATTCATGGACTGAAAGACTTAATATCATTAAGATATTAATATTATCCAAAGCAACCTACAGATTTAATGCAATCACTATCAAAGTCTCAATAATCCTTTTGTGGAAATAAAAAAATCCATCCTAAAATTCACATGGAATCTCAAAGGACCCTAAATAATCAAAACAAACTTGGGTAAAAAGAAACAAAAGTTGGAGGTCTCACTCTTCCTGATGTGAAAATCTATTACAAAGCTACAGTAATCAAAACTGTGTGGTACTGGCACAAAGACAGACATGTAGACCAATGGAATTGAATGGAAAGTCCAGATATAAAACCCTCACGTACATGATCAAACGATTTTCTACAAGGGTGCCAAGACCATTCAATAGAAAAAGGACAATCATTTCAACAAACACTGTTGGGAAAACTGTATATTCAAATGTAAAACAATAAAGTTGAACCCTTACCTTACATGATATAAAAAAATTAACCCAAAATGGACCAAAGACCTAAATGTAAAACCTAAAACTGTAAAACTCTTAGAAGAAAACACAGGAAAAAAGCTTCATGACTCTGGACTTGGAAATGATTTCTTGAGTATGACACCAAAGCACAAGCAATAAAAATAAAAATAGATAAATTGGACTACACCAAAACTTACATTAACAACACAGAAAGACAAAATAAGCAGAGTGAAAAGGCAACCTAAAGAATGGGGGAAAAATCTGCAAAGCATGTATCTGAAAAGGGGTTAATATCCAGAATACATAAGTAACTACAACTTCCCAACAAAAAATCAACCCCATTAGCAAATGGGCAAAGGACTTGAATAGATATTTCTCCAAAGAAGATATACAAATGGCCAACGAACATATGCAAAGATGCCCAACTTCACAAATCATTAGAGAAATGCAAATCAAAACCACAATGAGATACCATCTTACACCCATCAGGACGGCTACTATCAAAAAAACAAGTGTTGGCAAGAATGCGGAGAAACTGGAATCCTTGTGCACTGTTCGTGGGAATGTGAAATGTTGTAGCTGTTATGGAAAACAGTATGGAGGTTCCTCAAAAAATTAAAAACAGAATTACCATATGATTCAGTAATTTCACTTCCAGGTATATATCTGAAAGAATTGACAGCAGGGATTCGAACAGTCATTTGTACACCCATGTTCATAACAGCATTATTCACAATAGCCAAATGGTGGAAGAAACCTAAGGATCCATCAACAGATGAATGGATAAACAAAATATGGTATTACATACAGTGGAATATTACTCAACTTTAAAAAGAAAGGAAACTCTAACACATGTTACAAACTGAATGAATCTTGAAGGCATCATGCCAAGTAAAACAAGCCAATCACAAAAAGACAAATACTGTATAATTTCACTTATATGAGGGATCTAGAGTAGTCAAGATCACAGAAACAAAAAATTGGATGGTGGTTGGCAGGGGATGGGAAAAGGGGGTAATGAACAGTCATGTTTAATGGTTTACAGAGTTTCAGTTTCACAACATTCAGTTTCTGGAGATTGGTTGCACAGCAATGTGAATATACTTAATACTAGATTGTATGCTTAAAAAGTTAATAAATTTTGTATTATGTGTATTTTAACAAAATTTAAAATATTTTAAAAAGCAATCAGTCACAAATTTATTCCAGTTAATATATCAAAAGGCATGATAACAATTTAAAAATGATAACTCACAAAATAATATTCTTAAGTAGCCAATACAATAGGTTCCACTTATCATCCTTCTCCAAAATGTCTCACTTTCCTCCTATAAAATGTTTAAGGTATTTTTTTAAAGAAAGAAATGTAAATTAAAAAGGATGAAAATCCAGAAACCCAATCAAGTGTATAAGGAATCTAGCTCATAATAAAACTGATACTTCAGGGGCCGGCCTGGTGGCACACTGGAGAGTGCGCCGCTTGGGAGCGTGGTGGCGCTCCCGCCGAGGGTTCGGATCCCATGTGGAGACCGGTTCCCGCTCACTGGCTGAGCGCGGTGCGGGTGCAACACCGAGGGTTCCAATCCCGTTGCCGGTACCCAGTACGGGCGCGACACCAAGGGTTGCGATCCCGTTACCGGTCAGTAAAAAAAGACAAAAAGGAAAAAAAAATAAAAATAAAAATAAAACTGATACTTCAAATTAGTGAACAGAGGATATATAAAAAGCTCTTACAGATTAATAAAACAAAGTAAACAAAAATCCAATGAAATGAATGTGACTAGCCAGGTATTTTTGTAAACATACATCTATATACAAATTCACTGAGTGGCACACTTAAAATTTGTGTATTCTATGTAAATTATACTAAAAATCACTTACGAACATGTTAAAAATGAGCTAACAATCTGAAGAAGCAGTTCACAAAAAAGAATATCCAACTGGCCAAATTACTCAACATTCTTAGTCATCAATGAATAATAAATTAAAACCAAATTGACAGCTCTACAAATGAACCAGAAATAAAATAAATTAAATTAAAATGTAAAATAAAATAAAGTCTGATGATAGCAAGTGTTAAGAAGACAATGGAGCAACTAAAATTCTCAAACATTGCTGATGACAGTGGAGTATAAATTGGACTAACAATTTTTTTTTTTTTCCTTTTTGTCTTTTTCCGTGTCCGGCAACGGATTGCAACCCTCAGTGTCGCCCCGTACCGGACCGGGACCAGCAACGGGATCGCAACCCTCGGCGTTGCTCCCACGCCTCACTCAGCCAGTGAGCGGTCTGTATGTGGGATCCGAACCCTCGGCGGGAACGCTGCTGCGCTTCCCAAGCAGCGCACTACAGCAGTGCGCCACCAGGCCGGCCCCTTGGACTAACAATTTTGAAAAACTGGCTGTTTCTACTAAAACAGAAGATATAAATACCCTAATGTTCCAGTAATTCAACCCCTATATATATATATATATCTCATAGAAATACAAACATATTTGCACCGAAAATCATGTACAAGAACATTAGTAGCAGTATTATTTATAATAGCCCGAAGCAGTACAGACATTACATTGAAAGAAGCCAGGTACAAAATACTACATATTGTATGATTGTATTCATATCAAAGTCAAGAAGAGGAAAAGCTAAAAGTGAATACTATTTGTCTGGTGGAAGGGAAGGGTAGCCACTAGAAAGAGAAACAAGAGAATCCTCTGGGGTAATGGAAATATTGTATAATTTGAGCTCAGCAGTGATTACACTTACAAATACATGTGTAAGAATTCATCAAGCTGTTTACCTCAGATATATGTACTATATAAATCTCACTGTATTTTATATTTCAATTTTTAAAAATCAATGAACACCAAGTGTGAACAACTGAAACTAGTTTTTACTAGGAATATAGTAAACAGAAATGAGTACAAATGTCTATCCTTATGGACTGCAAATGTTCGTAGAATTACCAACAAACACCACAAACTTAAATGAACCAAAATGCCTATCACCAGTAATTGTGACACATTCATATAATAAAATACTACAAAGCAATGAAAATGAATTTTAAAACTGCTGCATATAAAATAGATTAATCACACAATCACGTTGAGACAAAAAACATATATTCTGTTTGGCCCAATTAATATAATGTTCAAAAACAGGCAAAAATTGTGGAAGAGGGATGGAGTAATGAATGGAATGAGTCACAAAGGTAGTTTCTGGGATTCTGCTACTGTTTTATTTCTTAACCTGACTGGGTAGTCACATAGTGTATTCATGTTGGAATAATTAATCAAACTACATATTTATAACTTTCATTATTTCTATTATTCTGTCATACTGAGACAGGAGGTGCTCAGCTTCCCTGAGGCTGGGTCTCAGGCCACTCCCCTGACTCTCAAACCACTCCCTGAAGTCTCAGGCCCCTTTTCTGGATCCTGAGTTACTGTTGCATGTTACACCTATTTTCAGCACCAACATGGGGGGATTGAGACCAAAGGAGGCAAATATGATCAAACGTCCATGGTCGAATATGCACAGACTAGGAGTTATATAAGCGTTACATAACCGGAACCCACCCCCTTAGTTAAATATTCGTAGACAACATGAAAATATTAGGTAGTCAACGATAAAAGGTGGAAGCCAGGGCAAAATAAGACAGCAGCTCACTCTCTAGCCTGCCCTCACTTTACCCGTAAAGTATGTATTCTTTACTCTTTCTATTAAACTAACTTTCACTTACTACTCTGACTCTGCTCTTGAATTTTTTCCTGCAGCAGAGTCAAGAACCTGATAGAGAACAGGGTCAAAAGGTCAGTGACCTGACCTACCCCAAACCTTCTCCTCCAGTAACAATACTTGTAAAGTATGTATTCTTTACTCTTTCTATTAAACTAACTTTCACTTTCTACTCTGACTCTGCTCTTGAATTTTTTCCTGCAGCAGAGTCAAGAACCTGATAGCGAACAGGGTCAAAAGGTCAGTGACCTGACCTACCCCAAACCTTCTCCTCCAGTAACAATACTTCAATAAAAATTTAATTAAAATAATTTTAAGTGAACTTTATTAACATTACCTTATTGTAATCCAAGTTTTTGTTTGCCTATTTGTGGGTTTCTTTCAATGTGCCTTGCATTTTTGTTCTCTAAAATGGCAAGTATACATAAACAATAATTAAGACATAGTGGTGTAACCCCTTCACATATTTACCAGAAAGTAAGTATGCCAATAAAGAGGAATAGGCAAGGAATTAATAATCCTGGCTGAACCAGAATCCCCAAATCCCATACAGTGACAGTGTAGTAACTATACTTATAGTCCCAATATTTCACCCTTCCTCTACTCCTCCCTTTGCTATATGAATAAAGAGACCAAGTATATTTCCCAACTCTGAGTTTGTGTTCTATCCTGTGACCTGTTTTGGCCAATGGCATGTTAGCTGGCATGATATATGACCAAAGACTTGAAAAGCGCCTGTGTAACTGTGTCTGCTCTTTGACACTTCTGCAATCACCAAGACAAACAGGCAGCCTGCTAGAAAAGAAGAGACATACTGAGAAGAACACCTGTAGTTAAATCAACTGACAGACACTTGAAGGAGCACAACCATCTTAAGAGAGTATAGCCTGCACTAGCTGACCGAAAGACAACTCAGATGCATGAACTAAATAAATGCCTATTATTGCATCCCACTATTTTGTCTTTTTGCTCTTATATAGCAATAACTAACCAACACATACACCAAGGAAATCTTTCTCTCAAGAAACAAAAATGTCCTGATGGACCACAAATGATAAAAGAAAACCTCCTAAATACATTTCCTTTAAGATTTAAATAACAATTTTACTTTTCTTTTGGTTGAAATTACAGAAAAGTCTTTTTCTATGTATGTACATACATTTATGTATATGTATGTATGTATGTGCATACACAGTCATGCATTGCTTAATGACAAGGATACATTCTGAGAAATACATCAATAGGCAGTTTCATCATCGTGCAAATGTCATAGAGTATACTTACACAAACCTGCATAGTATAGCCTACTACACACCTAGGCTATATTGTATAGACTATTGCTGTTAGACTACAAAGCTATATAGCATGTTACTGTACTGAATACTGTAGGGCAACTGTAACACAATGGTAAATATTTGTGTATCTAAACATATTTAAACATAGCCAAGGTATAACAAAAATACAGTATTATAATCTTATAGGAGCACCATTACATATGTAGTCCACCATTGACCAAAATGTCATTAAGTAGCACATGACTGTATTTTACACAGGTGGGATCATATAGTATATAGCTTTGTACCAGACTTATTTTTCACTAAATATATCACACATACACATATCATTAAAAATTCTTGCATATTGTGATTTTAATGGCCATAGTATTATATCATATGAATGTACCATGATGTATCTATTTCCTTATATTAAACATTTACAGTCAAATGTTTCTTATCCTTAATCCTATCTAAGCCATTCAGTCCCCAGATGACAACCAAATCTTGTCACCAAATTTCATTTTCAAGCAACCAATATTCCAACCATAATCTCTATTTTTATCAGCTCATTGCCACTCATATGTTCTATTTTATAAAAACCTACTATTTTACCCATGTTAAAAAACTCTGTGTATTTGTCATTTATATTCACTTACAGATCTTTATTTTACTCTGAGTTTCTGAAAAGCACTGCTGCTAAACCTTTGCTTATAGGACTGTTCATTGTAACTAAGATTTATTTTAATCTGAATTCATAGGAATATATCCACAAATTAGGACGTTATCCTTGTGGGTAAACAGGATTAATTCCATGACAATCCACTTTATAACCTTATTACAAAATTCATTACTTCTTTATCATAATTTTATATAAATAAAGATAAATGATTAAGGAATATATTTTAAGATACTCTCATGTCAAGGTCTAGTTAAGGTAAATTATTCTTTAATTTTCATTAAGCAGTTTAGTAATGTTTAGATTTTAGAATTTATAATCCTTATTCTTAATTGACTGACAGTCAAATCATAATGCTTCATGACCTAAATGATTTAGATTTTAGTATTTGTATGATTTAGGAACAGACTGATAAAATTATAGTATAGTTATTGTAATGATTAATTTTATATGTCAACTTGGCGAGGCTATAATGCCCAGTTGTGTGGTCAAAAACCAGTCTAGATGTTCCTGTGAATGTATTTTTTAGAGGAGATTAACATTTAAAGCAGTAGACTTTGAGTAAAGCAGATTATTATCTATTATGTGAGTAGGCCTCATCCAATCAGTTGAAAGCCTTATGAGCAAAAGATTGAGGTTTCCTGAAGAAGGAATTCTCCTGAAGACTATAACTTAGAAAACCTGAGTTTCCAGGTTTCTGTCCTGCAGAATTCAAAACTCAAGACTACATCAATTCAACTCTTACCTGAATTTCCAGTTGGCCAGTGTACCCTACAAATTGTAAACTTGCCAGCCCCCACATCGTGTGAGCCATTTCCTTAAAATAAATCAATCTATCCCTCCGACCCCTCACTCAATAGATAGATAAATAAATAAAACACATACAACATTTATCCCACTAGTTCTGTTTCTCAGTAGAACACTGACTAATAAAGTTCCCCATTCAAAAAAAATTAATTAGCACCTACAGTGTGTGACGGTAGTTCAAAAAGTTCATAGAAAGACTCATATTACCTTTCAATTTTATTTTCCCATGAACTTTCTGAAGTACCTTCATCTGTCCCATACTGTATTAAGGAATATTAAGATGAAAAAAATAAGTAGAGGTCAAATCTTTGCCCTTGAAAAGTTTGCAATATTGACAGGGAGACAAGTATACAGACATTTCACAAGTAAACAAATATATTTAACATTATTCTCACCTTTATTACAAGAAAAACATCTTGGGAAGGATAAGTGATAGAAAAAATAGCTGATCTTGCCAAGGTGGTAATGGCAGCAGGTGGTACATGGGGACGTAACAATCCTTTCATCTGGTCAGAATTAAGGTCAAAATAAAAGTTTTCTGAAATCTAAAAAATATATTCACATATTAAATTCTAAAATTTTACAAAAACCCACAAAAATCATAAATACCCACCTTTAAAGTAGTGCACATGTTAGGACATTATAATCTAACCTACAGTTTATCTTATATTTCACTGAGACCAATATGTCTAAATCAAAGCAAAAGAAACAAGCTATTTGGGAAATATAATACAATAAACACATTGTAAAGAATCATATCTCAAATTCTTTCGATTACAATTTTAACCTCTAATAAACTGTACAAAGAAATTATCATTGAGATAGATGACTCCAAATTGAGTTTTTAAAAAATTGTATGAATAATATCTCAGCAGTTTTGATATACCAAATACAAGTTGCTAGAGAAGAGTTTCATTAAAGAAATCCATAATATGTCATATGATGACAGCAGAAGTCACTGAAGACACTTCAAGTTTTTACTACACATTAGGCTTAGAATATTAAATTAATAAATGCTGTATGAGACAGCTCTCTGAAAAACTCCTAAATGTAATAAAGATATGATAGTAAAACTAAAAGCATTATTTAAAATAGAATATTTAAAATATACTAAATAGTCTTTTAGCTGGTGAGAATTTGAAAATTATGTCAATAAAAATTCACTGTCATCATCATTCTTATCTTTTATGCATTCTTTGCCTGAAATGTTTTTCCTGCATTATATCCTTTCTACTCCTTAAATTAAAAGAAAGTTGCTTCTGCTACTTGCTTTTGGAACCCTTTCAATGAAACAAAAAGCAATTTTCAACTAAAGTATTTTATAATGAGAAAAACTTGTCTTAATAAATTAAGATTAATAAATTCATATAACTTAAATAAATTAAATATCTATTTCCCTTTTTAAAAGACGCACATTTAATAATTCTCGAAAAAAATTGTCTTAATAAATTAAGATTAATAAATTCATATAACTTAAATAAATTAAATATCTATTTCCCTTTTTAAAAGACGCACATTTAATAATTCTCGAAAAAAATCATTATTTATCTCATATAACAACTTAAAATCAGGTTGTGAAACTTGTGATTATGAACAAATAACTACAGTCAAATGTTTTAACTTTACCTTTTTCTTTTCCTTGACGTCATATAAAGCCAAACTGGCAAAAATGGGTTCAATTTCAATCTCAAACCTTTATGAAGAAAAATTTTAAAAAATTTAAAAATAAATATAAAAGACATAGTTGAAAAGAAATTCTGACTCCAAAACTAAATTATCTCAATTCCTTGCATTTTTCTACACTGTGCCTTTGCCTACACTACACCTTCTTCCTGAAATATACTTTTCCCTGCACATGTTTCATGGTCTTAATCAACCATTAGCTCCTAGGTAATGATCCTCATAGGTAATCCTCCTTAATTTCTCCAACTACAACTAATCTCAAACTGCCTAAAAGCTTCATGGCTTTTTATGTCCATTTTGTGGCACTAATCACTTTCTAATATTTCATTGTTTATTCACATATGTTCATTTTTAAATTAGCTTTAAAAATAAAAGCTTAATGCTTTATTTTTCAAATTATAAATCACACATTCGATGCAAAAAACTTAGAAAATACACAAAAATATTCAGAGGAAAACAGGAGCCCCCAAAATTCCACCACATGGAAAGAATCAAAATTAACAGTTTAATGCCTAATCCATCTAGACTTTTGTCTATGTATAAATGCACCTGTTAAACGGATTTTTTTAAAAACAAAATGTCATGATAAACATAATATTTTGTAGTTTGTTTTTTTTTTGTCTTTTTTCGTGTCCAACAACGGATCGCAACCCTCAGTGTCGCGCCCGTACCGGACCGGGACCGGCAACGGGATCGCAACCCTTGGTGTTGCGGCCGCACCTCGCTCAGCCAGTGAGCGGGAACCGGTCTGTATGTGGGATCCGAACCCTCGGCGGGAGCGCCGCCACACTCCCAAGCAGCACACTGTAGCAGTGCGCCACCGGGCCGGCCCTGTAGTTTGTTTTTTTAACTTAACATTTTATGGCAAATCTCTATGTCATAAATATTAATCTTACTATAATCTTTAATGCTGGCCTAGTAATTCCCATATGGGAAAATTTATTCTATAACTGTATGCTTAAGTTGAGATGTCTAATTCACTTCCAAAAACGATAACTTACATATAGTAAACATTTAGTAAATATTTACTGAATTAAATAATATGTAATGTGAGGTTAACTAAAACTCTAGAGCAATGACAATTTTGCCCCAAATGGGACATCTGGTAACATCTACAGACATTTTTAGTTATCACAATTGCAGGAGTGTTACTGGCATACAGCAAGTAGAGGCCAAGATGTAACTAATCACCCTACATTGTACAGGACAGCCCCTGACAACAAAGAACTATTTGGACAAAAATGTCAATAGTTCTAAGTTGTAATAACCCTGCTCTACATTGCTAAGTTTCATATTACAAAAATATCAGTCAAGGTCCTTGTAGGAGACAGATAACATATTTGCATTAATTATGTTAAGTGAAATAAGCCAGGTACAGAAAGAGAAATACCACATGTCCTCACTCATAAATGGTAGCTAAAAAAAAAAAGAGAAGGAAAGAAAGAAAGATGCGACCATTACAATAATTCACTGGAAAAAAATAATAAGTTGTTGAACTTCCAAAAGGAGAGAAGAGAACTAAGGCCACTAGAGATGGGAAGGGAGAAGGATAACAAGAAATTGGTAAAGGGCCAAAAAAAAATGATTACATTGTATAATGTTGAGTATACTAATTATCCTGGAAAAATTTTAAAAATAAATAGTTTTTTTTTAAAAAAAAGAAAGTTTAATAAAGGACCTTTACAAAGATCTGGACAGAATCTAGAGAAAACAACTACAGAGAGTGCCACTCCCTGGGGCTAGCAACAACAGGAGTCATTACCAACCCTGGACCTAAAAAAGAACATGAAAGTGGTAGCCAAAAATTAGAAAGCACAGCTGTACAGAGGACCCTTCACAGAAACTGTAGCCTTAGGGAGAAGGAGGCAACAGATCAAAGCGACTCAGTAGGGAAGGAGTTAGGGAAATGAAGAGCCTACCTGATCTCACTCTCTTCCACCCTCTAACTTCTGGCTAACACCTACTTCTTCTCTAAAACACTTAATACTCTTAATCTTTTTGATTTTGGCCACTCCAGTGGGTAAGTGATATTACACTGGATTTTTCATATGTATCTTTTCATATACTTATCGACCACCTGTAAATCCTCTTTTGGTCCATTTTTCTATTTATTTTTGGCTTTTTCCTCACCAAGTTGTAGTTCTTTATGTATTCTGGATATAAGCACACTGTCAAGTAAATGTGTTGGAAATATCTTCTCCTCCTCTACAGCTTGTCTTCACTCTCTTGGGTCTTTTTATGAACAAAAGTTGTCCATTTTAATGAAGTAAACTGTATCAATGTTTTCCTCTAGGGGTAGTGCTTTCTGTGCCATGTTAAAAAAATCTACATTCTCTTTTAGAAACTCTACCATTTCGTCTTTCACATTTAGGTCTACTATCAATCTGTAAATAATTTTTTGCATATGGTGTGAAGTAGTGGTCAAGTCTCCTTTTGTCATATATACGTGTATATACTTATATATATGTACACACACACACACACACACTTCAAAAAGTAGTGGAAAAACTGAATTGAAAGATATGAATGTTTCCATGAACTTCTTGATGTACCCTCATGTATATACAGAGAGAGAAAGAGAGACAAAGAGACACAAACACAAACAGACAGACAGACAGACAGACAGACACAGAGAGACAGAGAGGGAGGGACAGAAGAGAGGGAAATAGAGAGAGGATGAAAGAGAGAGAAAGAGAGAAACAGATATCGATCTGCCCTGACAATTTACTGAGATACCCTTTCCCCACTGCTCTATGGTGCCCACTTTTATTGTAAATCAAAAATCCATAAACATGTGGGTCTCCTTAGTCTATTCCATTGGTCTATTTGTCTAATCATTCATCAATACTATACTGTCTTAATTACACAGTGTCGTACTAAGTCTTGATATCTGGTTTTGTTTTGTTTTTTGTGATGTTCTTCAAAACTGTCCTGTCTCCTTTTAGCTCTTTGCATTTTCATATAACTTATATTCAGCTGGAAATAAGCAAAAACAAATCAAAGGTAAGAGGAATACTAATTTATTTATTCAAAAAATTAGTATCCCAATATATAATTTAGTGCCACAAAACTCCTGTATAATAACTTTTTTTATAATATCCTTATAAAGATCCATACAAGGGTGCTTCAAAAAGTTCATGGAAGGATCCATATTACCTTTTAATTCTATTTTTCCATGAAATTTTTGAAGTACCCTTGCATTATTACTGTGATGAACAAAGGTGCAACTCTGGAGAAAATAATGTGAAGAAACTAACACAATTCCAGTGTGCTCTACTTTAAGAAAGGCTTTATGTGTAACAAGAATTTATAAATTAAATATATCGTTTCATTTTTTTAAAGTTTCTGAAGGCTCTTCCAATAAAAAAAGACTGCAAAAATGCATACATAAAGATTTTTTCTTTTCTCTTTCTAAATGTGTATTTCTCATGCATTTAGTACACAATTTGAGTAAATAACTACAAAAAAAAAAAAAAGCATACCACAGTATTCCCATTCAACCAAACATATGCATGCTCTAGTTTATCAAGAAATGCTATTTGAGAACCAAATATTCAATGGCTACTAAACTGCAAAAAAAGTTAATTTTTATTCACCATAAATGTAATGCATACTAATTTATTTAAAATGTTAAGGATACAAAAAAACATAAAGGAAAAAAAAAACTTTTAATGAACCAAAGGTCAAAAGACATTACTGATAGAATTTGGCTTATTTCCTTTAGGAAATTTTTAATTGGATGTGTTTGCACACATTTGCTTAAAAACAATTATGATAATACCATTTTGAAAATTATATCAATATGTGTTGACCTTCAATTACGATTTAAAGTCAATTTGACCTAATATTAATATTGGTCCCTCTATGTCTTAATATATACTTTTACTTTCGACCTTTCTGGGTGCTTGTTTCACATGGATCACCTGTTTTAAAAAAAAAAAAAAAATCATACAACTGGATTTTTTTAAATGCAGTCTGACAATCTTTCTCTTTTAAATGGATGGTTTGCTCCATTTACACTTATCGTCAAGACATATTAGAATTCATTTCTAGCATCTTATTTTTATTTTTCTCCTTTTTGTAAGAGTTTTTCCATTCTTGCCTTCTATTTGGATTGACTGATATTTCCACTTTCAATTTTTTCCCGTTATTTGTCTAGAAGTTATATTTCTATTTTTTAATGGTCTCCCAAGAACTTTTGAGTACATAGTTAACTTAAAAAGTCTTATTTTAACCAATATCTTTACCACCATCCCAAACAATCCCTCAGAATGCTTTAATTAATCACCCTCCAATTTATAAATTATATTAGATTTTTAGTTCTACTTCAATTATTTTAACCTCATAAACTAGACAAAATTAGAGAAAACACTGAGGTTTATCTTCATGTTTTCCATTTCTTTCCTCACCATTCTTCTTCCATCTAAAATCCTTCCTGAAGTACTTCCTTCAGAAGTTACATTTTTATTGATAAACTCTTGTTAAGGAAACACTTCCAGTTTTTATCAGTCTAAAAAATTATTTACGTCATTTGTAGTAGATTTCAAAAAATGAACACAAATTCTATGCAGATCCTCCCATTAAGAAGTAGTCTATCTCCTCACTTTGAATTTAGGCTAGGGTTGTGATTTGTTTTGATCAATAAATGCTATTTTGTAAGAGTCCTAATCCAAGGCCACAGAGGCCTTACAGCTTGGATATGGTTTCAGTGTTTGCCTTCTTCAAAACCCATGTTGAAACTTTATCCCTAGTGTGCCAGTATTGAGAGGAGGGGCCTTTAAGAGGCTCTGCCCTCATCAATGGATTAATCCACTCATGGGTTGGGTAATGGGTTATCATGGGAGTAGAACTGATGGCTTTATAAGAAGTGGAAGAGAGAACTGGGCTAGCATGCTCAGCACCCTCACCATGTGATGCCCTGTGCTGCCTCAGGACTCTGTAGAGTCTACTATCAGCAAGAAGGCCCTCACCAGATGCAGCCCCTTGACTTTGAACTTCCCGTCTCTAGAA